ACTTTCTCAAAAAGTTGCAAATAGAGATACCATTTGATTCAGCAATCCCATTACTGGGAATATACCCCAGAGAGATCATAACTCCATCCAAGCAGATATATGCACACCCATGTTTATCGCAGCTTTGCTTACAATAGCAAAGAGTTGGAAGTGCCCATCAACAAACGAATGGATATTCAAACAATGGAATATTACACCACATTGGAAAACAAGGAACTCATGCAATATTATTCAAAATGGGTGACCAAGGAGGACATTATGCTGAGTGAAATACCTGTCACAAAGGGACAAATGCTGCATGGTGTCACTGTTATAGAATGGGACTGACATCAGGGTTGGGGTAAGACTGAGAAAAAACTTGATAAATTATGTATACTGTATTGAAACAGATTAGGGAAAGAACAGATTAGAGGTGATATATGGCTAAGTATTATGGATGGTTAGCACAGGAGTCCAGAATTAAGGTTGCATAGAGAAGTGTACTCGGCGCGGGGGGTGGGGAGGGTGGGGGAATTGTATACCAATGAAGGAATTTTTCCCCCCTTTTTCTCTTTAAAGAGAGGAGCAAACTGGTGGGGAGGGGTGGGCAGGGAGAAAAGTGCAGCAATGAATGAATGGAAATTAAAAAAAAAATGGCAGTGCTCAAAACCAAAACAGAAACCTACTGCCAAAGGGGCCCTTTAGAGTAGTGAGAGAAGATCTTCACCCTGAAACCCACAGCGTCCCTTTTCAGCAGGAAGTAGCTAAGAGAATACGCCATCCCCTTTTCCTTATGACTCAGGGTGAAGTCTCTCTCAGGGAGGAGTGATAGGGAATGGCAAAGGACACACTGACAAAGAAGATTAATCAGAACTGGCTTTGACAAGCACTGTGACATTTGGACAAGAACAAACTGGGAGGAGGGTAGAGAGAATGGTGCAGTGGTGAATGAATGGAAACCCAAAATCTCTGTAAATGTTTATGAAAATTAATAAAATATAATTATAGGGAAAAAAAAGAAACAAATGCTGGTGGACTTGTGAGGAGATTAGACCTCTTATTACTGGTGGGATTGTAAAGTGGTGCAAATATTTTGGAAAACGGACAGGAGGGTGCTTCCTAAAAAGCTGGAAATATAAATGCTAACTACTGTTATCATTAAGAGGGAGTTCTGGTGGCCTACTGGTAAGAACCTGTGCTGCAAACTCAAAGGTACACGGTTTGAAGCCACCAGCTGCTCCTTGAGAGAAGAATGGGCCATCTCCTCTGGTGTAATTTACTGCCTCTGCAAATATGGCAGCTATGGGTTGGTTCCGACTCAACAGCACACCACATCAACAATGACATTATCAACAGTAGGGAGCTCTGGAGGCCTAGTCCTAAGGAATTGTGCAGGGAACTCAAAGATACATGGTTCTAATTCATCAGCTGCTCCACAGGAGAAAGATGAGTGTCTCCTCCCATGTGATTAACTGCTTTTGAAGAGTCCGCTATGGGTGAGTTCTGACTCAATAGTACACAACAACTTTATCAATAATAACAAAGGTCAATCTGCAAATGAATACCAGAGTAGATAGGCAAGATGAACAGGTGGGTAAAAGGGATGACACCCATGACATTGTTATGTAGACAATATTTTAAC